ATCAGAGATCATCAGCTCCTCAGTCTCAGATGTCCGCTCAATCTTCAGCACGCGGAACCGGCGTTCCTTCAAGTCCATGCCAACGAGGTAGAACCTAGCAGCGGTTTCGTACAGCGAAAACTTCTGCATGCGAGATACGCCATAGGTAGAGCGACGCTGGTCACCGCCAACCTTCGACTTGCTCGCATTGGAGGAGGAGTAGATGGCAGTATGCGAATCATCTTCCTCTCCAACAGTGACACCTGCGTTGCGGTGCTCGTCATCGCCAAAGAGAGTAGACGCATCTTCAATGAGACGTGAATGCTCGCTGGAGATGTCTGATAGAAGCGGGTCGCCTTGCGACTCTTTGCTTTGTGATCTGTGCTTGTCGTTCCCGGGGTCCGGGCAGCTTGAGCTCTGGATGTAGTTCTGAGCTGAAGACGCCGAGGAGGCAGAGCTGAAGGCGTTTGGCTGTGGTTGAGACTTGCTCAATTCCTTTCCTTTCGAGCCTGTCGGGCCATCTTCGTAGACTCCATCGTAGCCATTCGGCAATGGTAGTGAGGCTCTAGCAGCTCGCGCTCTGCCGGGAAGCTCGAGAGAGTCTCCAGCTGGTGATGAAGATAGAGACTGAGTCCGGTCTGCTACTGCGAGCCCGGTGTGATGATCTTCAGGAGCAGGTAGCTCAGATGGGTGCGGCGGACGAGTGACGTTATCCAGATCCTCCTCCATGGCGGCAACGGTCGTTTGAAGGATGAGCTATACAACAACCGGAGGTGATTCAATCGTTTGGTAGCATTATTGCGGCTGGCACTGAATAAACGGACTAGGGCAACCCCATGCTCATACTCAACCGCACTGAAAGCCTCCGTGGCACAACGTCAGTCTACGCATGAAATGGCCTTTGATATCTGTGACGTCGTTGATGAGCGGTGGGAGAAGCGGTTAAGCGGGATAAGCGGGGCTGCCGCAGCAAAAAAACGAATAGCAAAAGCTAAAAAACATTTCTTACGTCCCCGGGCAGGCTCGAACTGCCAACCTCCTGATAACGAAGCACTAACTAAGCACTTAACAGTCAGACGCGCTAACCAATTGCGCCACGGAGACGAATTTTCTAACGGCCGTATCTCGTAGAATTCTATACCAGGTAAAGCAAAAAGACTGTACGATTGAAGATGCTGGCCGGCAAGAGAAAGAAAGGGGAAGAGGAGCAAAGGGGGAAGAGAAGGGGGATGGGGGAAGGGATTGGAAAGCAGCGTCCAGCCTTCATCACGGCGTGTTGGCAGAACTAAACCACCAGCGACTTAGTTTTCCCCGACAGGTATATTTTCAGATTCGCTTCGAGTCTCGCCCCTTTCTTCCTCTTCCTGTATTCCAGCCTCATCCTCAATATCAATGCGCACATTGCTGAACACTTTCTCAAGCCTCGCGCGATCCTTCCTCCACGCCTCCAAATCATGGACACAGCCATCCACGAACAGCGGCCTTGACGTTTTTCTCCTCTCCGGAAGCTCGTCCAAAAAGTCACATAGCCATTGCCCAAAGACGAGACGCGCCACATCCTCTCTGTATGCCTCATCACGTGTGCGCCTGACGCTTGCGCCATTGCCGTTACTTAACTGCAAGTAGTGCGCCCAAGCATGAAGACGCACCGCTTCGTCCGGTGACGGGAACTGGCCGCCATACATCAGCAGCACCTTGAAGGCATCCACATCGTCTGCGCTCATCGCGTAATGGAAGGCAGGCCACGACGGCCGTTGCAGTTGGCACAGTACGTCCAACGCGAGTAAGTTCCTCTGCTGAACGGCCTTTTGCATCCCGGTTAGCAGTGCAGAAGGGTTGATCACCAGCGACGTTGAAGGGACCAGGGCACGGCAATTGATGAGGAAGCTGATGGAAGCACAGTTCCATAGAGGCTGTGGTTGGAGGCGGGAGCTTGGAATTGTGCGCAGCTTGCCTGGAAAGTAGAAGTAGGAGAGCTCCTGATCACGGGGCACTTCATCGGTTGACCGGGGGTTGTCGTTCTCACCGGAGGGCTGATCCACGAGAACATGCAGCCAGGCGCGCACGACGGGATTCCATTCAATGCATAGTTTTGCCTTTTTGTATTCGTAGACCAATTGCGGAACCCTCTTCCCTTTCGGCAGGTTCTTTAATGTAACTATCCAAGGCAACCCCCACGGAACCATCCCAATAAACGTCCTCGCCACGCCATCCGGATGCGCCACAGACAGGAAGTCTTTTAATTTTGTTGCTTCTGTCGGACTGAAAACAAGGCTGTATTCTTTCATCCATGAGCGCACAGTCCACATAAGCGCAATGCGCCTCATTGCCCGAAGGCGCCCGAAGTTGAACCAGGGAGCCTCCAGGAGCTCGTACTGAAGCCGGACGATGA